AATAAAAGCTATTAGAATGGGCTCCATTGTTATAGAAATTTTTATGAAAGACCATACCAAGAGGATCAGATTGAAGGACGTCTTACATGTGCCAAAGATGAAGAAAAACCTCTTCTCGGTGAATAAACTTATTTCATATGGTTATAAAGTATAATTTGATAAGAATAGGTGTTTTGTGAAGACATTGAAAGGAGATCATATTGCAAAGGGCTTTAGAGATGGCAACTTCTACTTCATCAAGTGTAAGAAAATAAATGGAGTTGAAGTAGTGGCATTTGCTAAATTTTCTCAAGATCAAGAGAAGTTTGGCATTTGGCATCGATGCCTTGGTCATTTGAATGCCAAGAGCATGAACGAGCTCCAATCCATAGTAAGTGGCTTAGATCTTGGTCATATAAGCCACAATGCTATGACACTTGCTTGTAAAAATTGTATTCAAGGCAAACAACAAAGGACTTCATTTCTAAGTAGAGTTGCAACACGTGCAATCAAGTTATTGGAGATTGTCTATTTTGTTGTTTGTAGACCTATGAAGATGCCATCAATAGGAGGTGCAAGATATTTTGTCACATTCATTGATGATTTTTTAAGGAAGGTGTGGATTTTTATCCTCAAAACAAAGAGTGAGTATTTCATAAGGTTTAAGAAGTTTAAGGCACTTATGGAGAAGCAATGTGAATACAAAATCAAGGTATTACGTATGGAAAATGGAGGTGAGTATATGTCAAAGCAATTTAAAGATTTCTTGAAGATGCATGGTATTGCAAGACAAACCTCCACTCCTTACACTCCACAATAAAATGGAGTTGCTGAAAGAGCAAATCTGACCATTGTAGCGATGGCAAGGAATATGCTTCATGTATAACACCTCGGACATGAGTTTTAGGCAGAAGCAATGATGAATGTAGTGTACACAAGAAATAAGTGTCTACATACAAGTGCACTTACATCAATGATACCAGAAGAAGCTTGGAGTGGAGAAAAACCTTATGTTTTTCACATGAGGACCTTTTGATATATAGCATATATAAAGATATTAGATTGTATGAAATCAAAATTTGATGCAAAAGATACAAAATGTATATTTGTTGGATATTGTTAAGGTATGAAGGCTTATAGGCTCATGTGTTTGGAGACTAAAAAGTTCATCAAAAGTCATGATGTTGAGTTTTTGGAGCACAAGAGTGCTTGTGAGCACTTGAAAATGTGTCTAAGTGGAAGTAATGGTGTGTTTGTGGATACATCTTCAAATTCAACAAAGAAGGAAGAAGACAAAGACAATGATGGTTGTAAAGGTGGAAATGAAGATAAAGAAACAAAGAAGGTAGACAAGAAAGTCTCTACAATTGCTAAGACTAGGAATGAAGAATATGAAGATGTTGATGATGATAGTGATAAGGATTATGAACCTTTGAGTAAAAAAAGACTATCTTCAAAAGAAAAGAAGGTTGGAGGTGACCATGGAGTGTAATAAGTTGAGTCTTCTTCAAATGAAAGGAGATATCCTTTGAGAGATAGAAAACAATGTTGTGAATTGAAGAAGGACCACATTTTTCTTCAAGTAAGTGAAGAACATGTCAATGTTGCACTTCTTGTTGATCTGTTGAATTTATATGATGCAATGAAGTCGAAAGATGATATGAAGTAGGAGAATATTATGGAAGAAGAGTACAAATCACTCATGGACAATGGAACATGGGAATTGACTCAACTTCCACCAAATTGAGCTTCAATTGGTTGTAAGTGGGTGTTTAGAACAAAGAGGGATGCAATGGACAATGTTGGGAGGTATAATGCAAGATTGGTAGCCAAAGGCTATTCACAAGTTGCTAGTATTGATTTCAATGAGACATTTGCTCCCTTGGCTAAATTCACCACCATTAGAACCATTGTGGCAATTAGGGCAGTAATAGACTTGGAGATGAACCAAATGGATGTGAAGACGGCATTCTTGAATGGAGAATTGGAAGAAGACATCTACATGGATCAACCTCAAACAACACCTTATGTATAAGTTGAAGAAATCCTTGTATGGGCTCAAGCAATCATCAAGGATATGGTACCAACGTATCGATACCTTCTTTGTGAATGAGGGATTTGTGAGGAGTGAGGGTGATCATTCCATGTATGTAATGCAATCAAAAGCCTTCTTGCTGATTGTTATTCTTTAAGTTGATGATTTGATCATCTTGACCAATATTTTGAAAAAGCTGGATTAGTTGAAGGCAAAGCTAGTAAAAGAATTTGAAATGAATGATTTGGAAGAGCTCTATTATTGCTTAGGAGTGGAGTTTGTGAGAGATCGAGCTAAGAAGATCATTACATTGAGTCAAAAGAAGTACATTGAAGAAGTGTTGGAACAGTTCAACATGGAGGAGTGTAAATCCATTAGAACACCTTTGGAGGCAAATTTGAAGTTGATGAAGCTCACGGATGAGGAATTTACTGAAGTTGAAGAAGAAATGAAAGATGTTCCATACAAAGCAGCAGTAGGCTCACTTATATATGCGACAATTGGTACAAAGGTAGATCTTGCATATGCAGTGAGTGTTGTGAGTCAACACATGTCAAAGGCTTGACCAATTCATTAGGCAACCATTAAGAGGATCTTGATGTACTTAAAAGGTACTTTGAACTTCAAATTGTGCCTTCGAGGGGATAGTATTACATTGCATGGATATTATGATGTGGATTAAGTTGGAGATACAAATGATAAAAGATCAACAATAGGATATATATTTTTTGTTAGAGTAGGAGCAATTTCATGGAATTGCAAGAGACAACCAAAAATTACAAGATCTACAATGGAGACGGAATACATTGCAGTAAGTCATGGTGCAATGGAGGCAATATGGCTAAGAGAAGTTTTAGAAGACATTAGACTTATGCAATTGGAAGCAGCTCTAATGAAATATGACAATCAAGGATGCATATTCTTGCCAAGAATCCAAAGCATCATTCAAGAACAAAGCACATTGACATTCAATATCACTTCATATGGGAGAAGATTGAGATGGGAGTGATTAATATGAAGTATTATGCAACAAAAGACATGCTTGGTGATTTGCTCACAAAAGTATTGGTAAAGGATAGACATTATAAGTTGACAAAGGGATTAGGTTTATTAGCCTTTGACCAATAGTAAAGTGAGAGTGTTAAAGTAAATAGAGGATAAGTTAGAAGGTGAAAGATATTATCTTAGATAAGTTGCTAATAGTCAAAGGATAGCAAAACGATGAAGAAAAGTTACCAAGGTGGCCGCTAGGATTATAGGTAGCAACTAGGGTTTAAAGTGGCAGTTAGGTTAAGAAGAATTTAGGATTTAATTGGATGAAAGTAAGATGAAAGCTAACTAAAATGGATGTAAACTCTACCTATAAGTAAAGGATATTGGAAGTGAGAGGTATCTCATTCCACACTTCTTTTATATCTAACCTTGTTATTTTCTACTTACTTCTGTCTTGTTTGTTATGTTTCTTCAATAAATATAAAATCTAATGCAATCTTGCAATGTCCAACACTAGAAAATACTTGTTTAGTCTAGTGAGAATAATTAAACGTGAGAGGAGATTTTTAAGAATACAATGTCAAAGAAGATTAGTAGAAAAACAACATTTGTGAGATAGAGATGACACAAGCACTTTGGAATATTGCAAGGATCCTATAAAAAAAAATAAACAATCTCAATAATACAAAGTTGTAGAAAATACTTAAGATATCTATACATCTATGCATTATTTAAGAAAACTAAATTAGTATTATACTAGGTACTTGCTAAACTACAAAACTTGAAAAAGAGAATTCTTTATTAAATAAAAAATAAAGTATTAAATTTCCACAATTTAAGCTATTTCTTATACTACAAAGGAAGAATCCAAGACTACAAGCATGTAAAAAAAATCCTAAACTTTACTCAATAGCTAAAATGATCATGTCCAAATAAAATTCTATACCAAAGAAATCTCTCTTCAAAACACTTACAAGATTTTACTTGGTAAAGGATGTCACATTAAAGGAACTTTTCTACCTAATATCCTTAAACCTTAATTGTTTCTAACAAGGCCAACTAACATAAAATATTAAATAGATGAAAACTCTCTAAACTAAGATAGACTATGTAAACTAACATAGTCTAACTAAATATTTTTTAGTTAATGTGATTTAGCATCCAATGCCCAATCACATGACAAATTTTTGTAGAATATATATAAAAATAAGATCTATCAAATGGAGGAAAGTTTATATTAAGCTTTATAGTATATTATACTATTTTATTTTTAAAATATTATATTACTTTATTTTTAAAATATTATACTACTTTTTTTATATTATACTACTTTACTTTTAAAATTCTAAAGTTATTAACAATACTATAATAAAATAGTTGTCAATTTTATATTTTTATCTTATGTAAAAAAAATATTTTTAATGTCTATATTATATAATGTATTTTTACACTAATAATTTATTTTCTTAATAGTACAATATAATAATTAATATATAGTAATAATACTATACTAATATAGGTTAATGCTATTTATATTTTTATCAATGCTTCTTCTATATATAATAATATTTTTTATTCATAATTATTAATTTATAAATTTATGAAAATATATATTTTTTATTATATACTTATAGAATTGGATATATATATATATATATATATATATGAGTCATTAACACTTGTAGACATCGTTTATTATTTTATAAAATTATTTTCTGTATTTTAGAAACAGTAATACTTAAAATTTTAATATTGTGTATTTTAGGTTGAATTTTTAGAAAAAAATTAGCAATTTCTCTTCATTAATACAAGCACTACATTTGTGGGCAGGGATCATGGGAGCCAACCCACAATAAGGTGGACAGCTTGAGCACACACCCAGATTGTTCAACCAATGAATGGTTTCAAGGGCGTTCATCCACTAAAACCCCAACTTCAATTGTGGATGCAGGAAATGCCTCGTCATGGTGGTGCAGAATCAGGTGAATTTGCATGGAGAATTCGCCACTATTTTGACTTTCCAATGGTGCTGCAATTAAACCATTAACAGAACATCCCACACTCCTAGTCATCATCAGGTTCTATTACAACTCTGCTGCCTAGGACACCCTCGATAAGCAGCTTTGTGACAATAAAACTGCAACATGGCTCCGAGTCTGCCTGCACAAATCCCCATTTTGTAAATGTGCTGACGCATCTTACTAGTTGCAAGCCAGCCTGACTAGACTGCATGACCTATTCTGGAAGCTTGAAGGCTCCATAGCGGTCGTAATTACGTGTTAGGCTGGAATCAGCAGGCACCACCTTTTTCTTGGGGTGGTTTTGATAGTGACGTACAAATATGGCAATGGCGAGGGCAACAAAGCCGACTACAAAGCCAAGTACCGAAATAAAATTTTCGATGGAATCTGAGTTGAAGTTTACAGGATCAGCTGTAGTGGTGGAATCGTTTTTCGAAACGATGCATAATCTGGCAAGAGGCTCGTTACAGAGCTCGTCGTTGCCAGGGAGGAAGCTGTCAACTGAGAATGACTGCAACTGGATACTCCTAGGAATGGGGCCAGAAAGGGAATTGTTTCCCATCTTTAGATCCGCCAACTGACTGAGGCCGGCGAATTCTTGTGGAATGGGTCCTGTGAGAAGGTTGTGAGACACGTCGAAGGACTGCAGGTTGAAGATTCTTCCCATTGCTGCGGGAATCACACCTGTAAATGCATTATTTGAGAGATTTAAATAAGATAGGTTGGTAAGCTTGCCTATGCTGGGTGGAATGATGCCGCTAAATTGGTTACAGGAGATGTCGAGATATTTGAAGTATGTCAAGTAGCTCATCGACACTTCAAATTTTCGATCATTGAGGTAGAAATCGAAACCGTAGGCGCAGTAAGAATCCAGTTTATGGCAGTTGTACGGCACTGTCTTCACATTTTTGTGGATGAAACCATTCAGTAGTGTAAAGTTGCTGCTGCTTGTCACCGGCCCGCTCAATTTGTTATTCGAGAGGTCCAATACCTGTAGACTAGGCAACTCCCACATCCACTCCGGAACCTTACCTTCCAGCTTGTTATATCCTAACATGAGCACCTGAAGCTTCGATAACCTTTTCACATCATAGTTCGTAGGAATCGTCCCAGTGAGGTTGTTCAAGCATGCGCTCACAATCGTGAAATTAGGATTCGTGGCTATACTTTCGAAGAAGTTTATATCACCTATAAACGAGTTGTTGGAGATCCCTAGGATTAAGTTGGATGATGTAACTCTACTGAAGTCCACCTTCAATTTGCCTTTGAACTTGTTGCCCCCCAAATGAAGCACTCGCAATTTGGTGCAGTTTCCTATCTCTGCCGGTATATCTCCTGACAAATAGTTCTGAGCTAGGTTGACAAATTCAAGATTAGAGCATTGTCCGACAGTCCGCGGTATTGATCCGGTAAGCTTGTTTGAAGATAGGACCAGATACTGGAGAGAGGAGCAGTTGGCAATCGACTCTGGAATGATGCCATCCAGATTGTTGAAACTGAGGTCAAGATATTGCAGCGACGACAGGTTTCCAATCGACGGTGGCAAGGAACCAGTGAATTGGTTCGCGTTCATCTGTATGCCCCAAATGTTTGGCAACTTCGACATTTCTTCCAGGTCTGCGTTACGTCTCAGATGTCTCAGTGGTGGAAATCGAGTGGAGTAACCTTGGAGCTAATCTTATTCATGATTTCCATTGCAATACAATCACTCGTACTACTTAAACAATTTAGAAAACTAATGTGAGGATTTGCAGAGTGGTCTCAAAACTATGTTTGATTTTCAATGCTGCGGAGATTGTGCGCGTAGAATTACACAAAGAGGAACCATCAGTAGTAAAATTGTACCTGCTGTAACGTCGCCAGAGAATCTATTTACTCCGACGTTTACCACCTGGAGATTAAGATTATTGTACAGCGCTTTGGGAACTCTACCACTGAAAAGGTTCTCACTGAGGTTGAAAATAGACAAGCTCGGACTTGCCGCAACTGAAATTGGAATCTCTCCCTCCAAACTGTTTCGGGAGACTAGCAACTTGGTCAACGCAGTCAGATTCCCAAGCTCGCCCGGAAGCTTTCCAGATAACTCATTGTTCATGAGGTTCAGGGTCTCAAGTCGGGTGCAGTTTGCCAGCTCCGAAGGGATCTGTCCTCGCAGGTTCCCAGACTCGATGAATTCTTACGAACTGCAATCTCCCCTGAGACTCTTCACTGAGATGGAATCCACATCACCAGAATCGGTGCACTGAATGCCTTCCCATCCGCATGGCGATGCGTCAGAGGCATTCCAGCTTTAGAGCAAACCATCCGTTGCAGACAACCCCTGCTTAAACTCCAGCAGAGCGAACCCATCTGGCGTCAACGCATGCGACTGCACTGCAAGCATCACAAGGACCACGCCCAGTCCGACTACCTTCGTCCCAGAAGACAACAACAAACCAACTGCACCATTCATGGTTGAAGAGGCGAGGAAGGAGAGCAGGGAAGTGCTCGATGAGGAGGAGGAGGAGGACCCGCAGGAGGAGGGAGCGGCAAAGTGGCACCGCACCCAGCATGGCAAGACAGTATTGTGATGGCAGCGGCATCACTGAGAATCCAGAGGAGGACTTCAGCAAGCATGGTTGAAGGTGGGTGGATTCAACGAGCCTCGTGCCCATACGACTTTGCAGTGCAAAAGCACACCAGGAATGAATGGGGCTGCGAAATCCTATGGTCGCAATGCCGCCCCCTTGACATCACAGCCTCCCCCCTTGCCACGCGCCGTCATTCCATTTCCCATTCCTTTTGGTGGCTTCCCGCACAAGTTTTCTCTGTCTGTCTGTGTAACTGTGCTGGGTTCTGCACCACTTCCGTTCCATTCGTGCTACTCTGATCCTGTTCCCCCTTTTTGTGTGCCGTTATTGCTTGGTTAACGGAGGTTTGATGGTCTCTGGACCTGGACCAGAGGGGTTCAGTATATGTAAGACTGCTGACCCTCATGACCTCCCATTTCAAAGGTTATCCATTGACCAAATGCAGCAAAAGTGGCGATCAGAAGAAGAACATGGTTCCAAGGCCGAGTTATTGTGATGTAGGATTTTGAAAAGCAGTTGCTTTGGTATGTTTCAAGACTAGGTGGTGAAAAAGTGAGATTGTAGATTTTGCTCACAATCCACTAATTTTACTACAAACAAAACAAAAAATAAAAAACCTGTATTTCTAATCAATCTAAAACTTTTGTAATATCAAAAATGAAAGACAAATCAAAGCTAGATTTTTAATAATATATAATTCTCAATGTTTGAATATGATGATAAGATACTTTTATTTTATTTATTCAATTGAATTAACATTAGTGTAGTTATAATATCAATGATTGCATTCAAGAACCACTACAATTGTTAGCTAGTTGTAAGAAAAGATGTAAAAAAAATTTGATATATACATCTATATAAACCTTTTCTCAACCAACAACAAAATATACCTAGACATGAATTATAAAAGAAAATAGAGTATATTCAATATTTTATATTAAAATTTATATACAAGTATATATGTATATATTTGATTATTTATTTATTTTTGTTTAATTTTGGCTTCTAAAATATAGTTTGCAAAATAAATAAATAAATAAATTGCAAGCTATATCTGATTTTAACTAAATAGTTTTATATTTTTTAATGTGGAAGCTTAAAACAACATTCTTAAAGTAAAGAATTTTCAGACTTTTGAATGATTTTAAAGCAATATATGCATTGTTTGTACATTTCAATTAAAAAACATTACAAGTTTTTAAGTTGTACTAAAGTTATATTTAAAGACATTTACAAAACACCAATAAACATATAAATTGATATGTATATATATATATATATATATATATATGTCCTAAATATATATACTCATAGGAATTAGGCATTTTTTTAGATTTGAGAGACTTACAAACAACTTAAGCACATGATGCTTGGAGGTGCATTGTAAGTAAAGCATTTGGACTTTCTTTGCTTAAGGTCAAAGAAAATGTCATTAAAAATAAATAAAAGATAAAATCAATGCATTACAATAAAAATTAGATAGCCAATTAAAATTCTAATTTTTTATTATATCATATATATATATATATATATATATATACCCACACATAATACAAATTAAAAATAATAATTAATAATTTTACTTATTAAAAAGGATATTGTGATTGAATTTGAAGTGCTATATTATTTAAGTTTGAAAGCACGTGACCTTTATTAGTTGAATTTTGTCTTTTGATATATGTGTTTTTTTTCATAATAAGATATGTTTGAAGAAGGTGAGCTTTTAAACTATAAAATATAAAATATAAAATATCATAAAATACATATTTTGCATTTCTCTTAAGAATTGTTTAAGTTAAATCTTTTCATAGTTGCAAAATCATCATTTCAACATGCACTTGTAAAAATAAAATAAAGAAAGAAAGAAAATATAAGCTTTGTCAATTTTTTTAAAAGATTAAAAAAAATCAAGTAAGAGTTTATATATATATATATTATATTTTTTTAATTTAAGAGCATTAAAATATTAAATAAAAATATTTTATAAGATTTGATAATTATAGTGATGGCTTTATGGTGCATGAAAATGCAATGAATCTTTTGTAATATTCTTAAGCTACAAGCATGCTCCAAGTTGCTATACACACATGTCAAATTGTTATATACAAACACACACAAAAATTAAAGACCTCTAATTGGCTGCTTGTTTTGCAGAGACTGACACTTGCTATTACCATGTGGATCATACTAACCAATCAGCACATGGATGAAGAAGTAGCACTCCTATTTGAGTTTGATTTTAACTTTGTCTCTTTGGTCATCCAGTCACTCCTAGTATTACCATTACCAAAAACATACTTGTTTTACAATGCAAAAGTTTAAAATTAATGAGATAAAAAAGTAATAAAGAAATAAAAGTTAAAAATTATGACTATTCCTTAATCCATCAAATGGCTCAAAACATGTTATTTTTCATGTTTCTAATCTTTTTATTTACACAAATACAATTAGGTTATATATATATATATATGTATGTATGTATGTATGTATACAATGCATGGTTGATTTATTTTTTGAATTTTTGCATCACTTTTGCAAGAGTCTAAAAGTCAATTTTTGGTTTGTTATTTATCTTTAAAAAACTGCTAACTTGATTGTAAATCAACTAGCTACTTCCACAAGCTCCTCTTTTTCATCTACATTTCAATTGAGTTAGAAACATACAAATGACACGGGACTGTTTCCAAAGGTGCTCACTGTAATTTAGAAATTTAACTACATTATTTTAGGATTTCAGATTGAACTACCACAAATTTCTGGTTAAATTATGGAAACGTAGAATTAAATTTTAAAATTCAAATTGTTACAAAATGTGAAGGGGAATGTGATGAGGCTACATTGATGAAGCTGTACAATCAACGTTCTATTATTGTACTGCTGATACATCCTCCTGCAAACACATCCCGGCTAGCCTAAGCAGGTCTAAAGTTAAAAATACGCCAAAGAAGGTAAAGGTTGGTTGCCCTCCATGTACAAGTCCTCCAAAGATCAGCAACTGACATAACCAGCAGTCCTAGAGACATGTGGCTCCCTGGATAGTGTCCACTGAACAACTACGCCCACACCTTGCATGAAAGGTTTCCACCTGCATAGATAGCTCAGTTATTTCCGAACATCCTTGATCTATGAACGAATCACAAATCTGAGATTATATTGGAGAGGTTTAATCTCTAGCCAAGTCCCTCTAGCCAAGTTGCAATTCAAGGTGGTAGATCTTGAAGATGGAAATCAAATTCATTAGTGTTTCAAACCTTGAAGGGAATCCGAAAATGCCTATACGCTACATGATTGAATAATAAAGATGCAGTAATCACAGAAAGGTCATCGAAGAGATGGCAGCCAACGTACTAGCTATCTATGTCGACAATGTGAGTAACGAGAGTTGTTTCTAGAGTTAACCAAAAGGGTTGGTCCCAGCGGTTTGCGAGTAAAAAGGAGAACTCCCATACATAGCACCTTGGTTGAAACATTGATTTTGGGCTAAGCCACTGGGTTGCCCGTTTTGACTGCATTCAAGACAGCTGGGTCAGGTCAGATTCCGCCATGCATAAATCAATGAGTTCGTTGAGAAACAAATAATCTAGCATAGTGTGCACTTACTTCAGAGATTGAAAACCAATTAAACAGCAGCTGGCAGGTTCTCAAAAACTAACCGTGTTACAAGTAATAGTTTGACAGAGTAGGAACCGTTAAGACAGTAAATTACACTAATTATTTCAATCTCTTGAAGTGCAATGTACTTTTCCATAAATAAGTTTTATTTCTGAGTACGCTTCTAATCACATAACATGATATGTTAATAAAAATTCATCATAATATTATCATTTTTTGACATATCAGGATTAAAACAAGATCCGAGATGGCTTCTATTTTGTTCATTATTCAGAAGTAACATCGTAAATCCTAATAGTCAACATAATTTCTGTGCAATCTACATTGAAAGATGGGAAAGGTCATATTCAAGTTAGTGCGCTTCACACTACAAACTTGAAACACAATACATGCATATATTTGAATATCCTTGCTCCCTCAAGGATTTAAATGAAACACATCAACGAATAGGAGCAGACTGTAGGAAATGAAGAGTATGATCTACGTAGATTGCGAAAAAGCAAAAACAGTAAGTACAGGATCCCTTACTGGTGAATGTTACTGATTGATTGCATCCCATATCCAAATGCATTCGCTGCAATCAATACAAAGCAGGCTTGCAGCATTAGAATCACACATCTCCTCGTACTCACACTAGCTTCTGTACATTAAAAAAATACACCTTCGTAATATACACAGTCCATTACTAAAAAAAGAACGTTCATATTAAAGCAGGTTATGTAAAAATATGAGACAATGGTTTCCAATCATGTATCAAATAATACAATGACCTGTTACCTGAAGCTGCGGATGGTTGAAATTGAAGTATTGGCTGACCCCATTGAGAAGCTGCACCAGAGAGAGGCTCACTTAATTGAGGCAGTTCTGCTTGCAAGGAGCCCATATTAAACTGCAAGAAGCGAAGTTCGACGTCAATTACCAACTACTAGCGCAGAGTTTGACGCTGCACCTACAGTAAGCAAGTTAGTGCTAATATGAAAACACTATCTTCAAAAATTTCTTACTCGAGGAACAATCAAGAGATATCGGCTGAACGGGCAGGAGCATTCAACACATACGTACCGGCGCGGATGGGGTGTCATCATCATCAAATGGATTTCGACTCCTAGATGGCTGAGCAGCTACCTGAAGAACTCTCTGCGCAGAATTAGACGGCCTAAGAATCAACTATTCCACGTGAAAACAGAAGTCTAGTTAATTTTTAAAAAGTAACATAACATAATGCATGCAAAAGATGCACCGAAATCAAGTAACAGACTAGCACAAGGTTACTTCTAAAATTACTTGTGGAAATTGAGGTGCCCGAATCCGTCCAACTCCCATTGAAAAAGCAATGTCTTGGCGAGCAGCCATGTCTGACACATCAGATTGCGCAAAAAAATCCTGCAAAAGTTTTCGAACTCAAATACCTACTTTAACACAAACTTTCGGGGGAGGCTAGCTACAAAAACCATTGCTAGAACAACATGCAGCTGCCCTGAATAACTTCTGATAGCATCTAGAAGCTCGTTGAGGTTTTGAGGATAAAAAAAACATTGTCGGAATTGTTCTTACCTGTGGTAATTCACGACGTGGCCTTCCATTAGCAGATGACGTTTGCAACTCGTTGCCAGGATTTGATTCAATTGAAAAACTCATTTGCATCGCCGCCTCTGCGACGGTAGGCTGGCCTTCAATTGTTGAGAACATGTTAAATTGCTGGCTTCCACCAGACAATAGTTAGATAAAAACTACGTTAGTCAAAGTGATTGAGATGCTATTGACATGTAGTTTATCAAACCAGAAACTTCAACTACATGATCCTGATGAGCTGAAAAGTACATCTAAACTGGCTTGATGATGTTGCAACTGGAACGGGAGCTGTGGCTTTAAGTGTTGCGGGGACAACTGCAGTCTGCGAACCAAATGCTGACCAAACATTTCCCACTGAATTGGCACTATTATTCCAACCATCAGAACCAGAAAACTGCGCTGTCATCTTATTAGTTGCGGTGCTTGCTGAAAAAGCACCAGGACACTCTTCTGGAGGAGCCGGATTACCAGTAAAATCGAATGTGGCCCAGCTAGATGTCGCAGCACTAGCACTTGGATTTCCAAATCCAAAAGGATCCGCAGTCTGCTTCAAAATTGTAAAAGGGGCAAACGGATCAGCCACAGGTTTAGCAGTCGCAGCAACTGCAAAAGGATCTGACCCAAATATGTCTACAAGGGACACATTCGTAGAAGCAGGATCAGTAATTGGGGCGAATGTATCTACAACTGGCCTCGTCGCGGGAGTTGGTGCAAAAGGGTCGGATGCAGGCGTAGACGTCACAAAAGGCTCGGGATCTGCAGTTAAATCTATCAAACTAATCATACTCTCGGAACTGACTCGCTTGACAACAGGATCTGAAGCTGCAGCTTCACCATTACCCGAATGATTCAGGCTCTGTGATCGTGCATGATTTGGTAATCCAACCTGAATAAAGCAGGGAGAACTGTGAGGTATCTGTGCACGTCATTCGCAGGTAACGCAAGAGATAGTCTTCTACTGTGACACTGATTACACAGTTTGGTTATATAGCAGATTATCAGGGACTAAAGTTGATTCCTCACACTTTTAGAAAGCAAAAGAGTGAGAAGTCAAAAAGTCCAAAAGTAATTCCAACAGGCAAGAGGACTTTGCAATGTAACAGAGTAGTTGACATTTTGAAGTCTGCAATTTATGAACTGTATACGATCATATGAATGGGGAGAAGTTACACATGTAACATGCTAGGAGGTAGCTCCCTCTTATGATCTTACCGAAGCGAGTGTTGTTCCCGAGAGTTGATTGCCGATCGCATCAACACGTAAAGTAGGGACATCATTTCCAAGGATCTCCTTAACAGATCGAATGGGTGGACCATCATCTTCTGGGTTTCGGGAGATGAAGGGCCTAACAGGCAGCTTTTCTCTAGCACGACTAGCTTCAGGATTTGTTTTCTCATCACGCCGCCTTTCACGATCATTGTAGCTCTTACGAGGTGGCCTATCTGGTTCAAATCCACTAGGACTGCGTTTTTCACTGTAACAACCCTCAACATCAGACTTACGTGCCGAGTCATTGTTACGCCTGTCATTATTTTGATCTTCTCTTGAGAGACTGCGAAGGTCAGGTTTTCGCACTTCAAGGCGCCGAGATTCATGTTCATTTCCAGCACCCTAAAAGACAGAAAATGAAAATGAAAATGAAAAGTTTATAAAAAGACATTTAAAGATGTCAAAAGAAGAGAGAAAGCTACATATGAAGGTACATTACCAGAGGTCATTGAATTAGATATAGGACAGAAAGCAAATCGTCAATGAATATGATTAAGTACCGTGGGGCCACATTTTACCATTCAAATAAACTCATTGATCAACATGTTGCTAAGCACAACCAACCACTGCATCACATTTGACTTATGTGTAAACCAAAACAATGGTACAACGAAAAACCAAGTATAAAAATATTTCAGCCACACCCTAATGAGGCGGATGGACTAGATAATAAAGGTACAAGGTAACCAAGAACGACGATACACTTCAGCTCAATAATGATGCAATCAAAAGATCCTGTTTTTACACTTTAACATTCTAAAACTCCACCAAAATAGAAATGGATGGAATAACCACTCACTTCATGACCTTTTGTAGGAGCTTGTCGATCTCCAGTGTAACGTCTTTCGACATACACATGGTTGATAAAGTTTCGCAGTTTAATAGGATCACTGGAGTCCAGAAAAAATGGTTTAGTCGAACGCTAGTATTTAATACATCATAGGGAACTTTACAGCCATCTTCAGTGGGGCCGAAGACCTACCTACTATCAGGAAGTGGGTTACGCACAAGACCCAACTCCTTGAAATAAAATTCTCGAGCTCGCTGGAAGGTAAATATGTGAATGAGTTTCAGTATCCAAAAGCTATCTAAATGAAAGAGCAACTGTGGAAACATCCTGGAAACAATCTTACATGAATCCAGTACATCTTATTGAAACCAATTTCGAGTTCACTCATCACAAGAAGAGAACACAGTGCTATATTCTGCAGAAACTGAAGGAAATTTAACACGAACAGCTCGCACAAATGTGAGCACTGTACCGCATTTCCTCCAGTCTGCAAATTAGCAACTTCTGTAGGAGTGAACTTCGCCATAGAAATTGACTTGATTCGATGAGAGAACTCCCGACTGCATAAGCCAATAACATCAAGTAAACATTCAGCAAATAGCAACCACAACGTAACGCATGAAGTCGCCAAAACGCGTAACGTAGCAACTATGGGTCGATTTATAGACCTTTTCCGCGAATATCAAGCAGAACTAACAAACCTAACATAAATCTTGTCATTGTTAGATCATAATTAGAGATGCTGATAAAAAATATTAAAGACAAATGCGAAAGTGAAAAACAAGAACCAACATAACAGAGGCTTGCAGCATCGCCTACTGAACATGCACAACCAAAAAATATCAGCAGAATTCCATAGAAGCGTAGGGAGCAAGAGAACTACAACAAGACTGTTGTACAACTATAAAAATCTTTATATGCTGAAAAAAGGCATAAAAAAAGCCAGAGCACTCGCTGCGCTCCGCTGCAGTAAGTGCACACGAAAATGGAAAAATTTGTACATACGTATTGAGGGCCCTCTCAAGAGACCAACGCAATTTTGTAACTTGGGCCGGAGTGATTAGACAATAACAAGACTTTACAACATAAAAAGTAGAATTATAAAAACTCCTACATCAGATGACTCTAAGCCACAAAAAATGATTCCTACAAAGCAGGTACTATAAAATTAGCCCACTTGACATTGCAGACAGAGAAAAGACGAAGACGGAATATTCCTCGAATTGACGGTGAGAACTACTGAGCAAGTCCTCCAAAGATAATACAATTCAAGACAGAAAGGCCTGCGAAGCTGACCAGGCTGTTGCAATTAATGCATCGTTTGTTTTCGGTTTTCTTAAGCAACCTCCTAATTATCATCTCGTTTCTCTCATCTTCTCTCACCCTGGTATTCATTTTGCCAAGATGCTGCAAAAACAACTGCAAGCTTTTGTCAATTTGTGGCCAATAATACCCTTAGAACTCAGACGATTTCTCCAGACCGAACGGAATATTATGAACAGCCTAATTGAGACCACCCGGATAAAATATCATAGAGAGTCCACATGCAACTCTGCCAAATTAAACAATGCAGACAAGTCTTCCACAATGAGCATTCTAATTACAAAATCGAACCGTACAAGATACTGAGTAGCTAAATGACACGATTATTACTTGTCATGTAGGGCATCCACCCAGGGGTTCCAATATTAGACTAGATAAAAATATTCAAAGCACGCATGTCAGTGACACTAGCAAACATTTAAAAGTACAACCAGAAATAGCTTTTAATATTGTTAATAATGTTTTAATTTTAAATGAAAAGAATGAGCAAGGAATGACATAAGATTGTTCGAGAGTAGATATATACCATAAATTTTTATCAAAACGAAAGTGCAAATTCAGCGACCACAATTACGCCTTCGCTGGTGATTCGACTCTCAAAAGATGGGCCCTGCAGCAAATGGAGAGTGCCATACGTCTGAGCCTGGCCGCATACTAAGATTAGCCTCGAAACTTAGTACACTTGGAGGAAGACTCTATAACCGCGAAGAAGATGTTCCACACAGAAACGTGCAAGAGCGAACGCTGTAATGGTTCAAATCTGAAATCCAATTTGAATCATAGAGCAACCAAGGACTAAACACACAATCCAGGTAATAAAAATAAAAAATAAAAGTACAAAATAACCAGGCCAGCACAATCATTCAAGGAGACTTGGACCTGAAAGGTGGTAGGGATTATAAAACCCCGTATATAGATGATCGCCTGTCAAATACACAGGTTGATCATTGTGTCCAATTTAAGGGCTACCCGGTGATCTCACTGCCTCGTTGCGGTCAATGGAAAAACTACATGTACATAATCCTAATAAAACCAAGTGAATAGCACCTCCTTCCCCTTCTAGGCAACCCTTCAGATGCTGACACCGCTTGCGATAAGTTAAGATGAGAATTTAACTAGGAAACTAGGAAACTCGGCACGCGTTTGTAACGTCCAAACAGCCAGAGCAAGATTTATAAGTTGATAATGCGTTCAATTAAATTCTACTTTCTACAACAAATTAAGTAGCAAATGCATACCAAAACCAGTGAAGCTCAAAATACTGTAAGCAATTGAAAGGACACGACGGGAATCTAAAATTGTTGCAATAGGTATTCTAGATCTTATTAGTCATTAAATGATCCCTTCAAGAGGGCAAACTACTGAAAAAAATATATTTGGATAGAAATCATGCCAGTATCGTGTAAGCTTACAGCGGATAGAAGCAAGAACTAAAATGCAGTCGAAGAAGACGCACATGATGGCTACTTTGCAAACGCTTGTAATTCAGTGCAACGAGCCAAACTGAGAAAGTGTAAGAAAAAAGAGCTCTCTACTCAATTCCTTTCGAGCAGAAAAATTGCGGCTGGAAAGAATTAAGGAAAAGGAATGGAAATGAAACCGATGGGGATGAAGCAGCTCACAATATGAGGCCGTCCACCCGGAATGACAACGTCTGCATCCACAAACAGAGTGCAGCCATTTTACTAAGATATCTGAAAACACGACCTCAATCTAAAGCTTGGTTCAAAAACATGGATCCATACTCGCAATTTAAAATGTCAACCCTAAACCAGAAAGTGTAAGCTGATGTATGAAGGCGGAGATCTAAACGCAGTTTAATGACAAACCGTGCAAGCGAAAGAAAGAAAGAAAGAAAAAAAAAAAAAAAAAAAAAAAAAAAAAGGGCACCTCAAAGCAGCGACAGACTCAGCGAATCTTGTGAAAGATGCACATGAAAGAGAAGAGGCGTCAGTGTAAGATCCAAAGCCATTCAGAGAGAGTGTGAGAGATAAAGAGGATCCCGGAAAAGCGGGGGCGGGGAAGTTTGGAAGGAAGGGAAAAAACCGGGGGACGTGGAGAAGGAGCCATGATGGTGGTGGGGAGGTGTTGATAATTTTGAAGCAAATCCCGTCACCGCCACCGCCACAACAGCAGCAGCACCAAAAACAAGGAAGGAGGGTCGGAAGGAGGGAGGGCACGAAGAAATGCAGGAGCAGCAGCAAAAGCAGGGATGATGATGATGATAATAGTAATAAGAATAAGAATAGGGGAGGAGGAGGAGGAGGAATGGGGAAGAGAACGCAGATAGATAGAGCCAGTGAGTGAGTGAAAGAAAGAGTGAGTGCAGGAGGAGGAGGGGAGGTGGCCGAGAGGCAGGGGGGGGGGGGGGTGAGGGTGGCCAGAATAAGGGAAGGGAAGCACTGGCGATGAGGACTACGGTGCCCCCCTTCTCCCATTTTGTCTTCCTTTCTCTTTCTTTCTCTCCTCTCCTCTCCTCTCCTCTCTTTGCCTTCATTACCAGGTGGGTGCCTCATGCTTGAGATGACCATCATCATCATCTTCTTAATGCTTTATCATCAGTTGATGCCATACTGCAAAAATGTGAATACTCTACAATATTTTTTGGAAACTCCTATGTTAGAAGTTAAAGTTGTATCCATTCTCAATATTAACATTAATGACAAAATTTGAGATCTCCCCATTTTAAATTCCAATGTTCAAATGATATCTCTAGATATTTCAGAATATTGTGGCAAATTTTTGATAGTTCTTGTGAAAATATTCAAAAAATGTTAAGAAATATTAATCACTTGGGGTAAAGAATATTTTGAGATACTTCAAACTTTCATATATTTATTTTGATTAAGCTTTCACACTGAGGTAATTGAAAATTTGCTAAAAGCCAAAATTAAATCCATGTGAATGTTTTGATGTAAATCAGAGATCTTATATTTAAGATTTGGTACATAGAACATTGGGTTTTCAAAGAGCAGTTGATCAATTTAAAATTCAACATAGTGTACAAATTAGAGTTTGGAGTGTGATCTAATTTTTTCATCACTTTGATTCTTTTGAATCTATGTGTTTGTTACACGTTGGTAAATTTATCTCAAAATGCACAATATTTTTGGTTGTTTTTGCATCAAATTTTATTTTTCTGCTACTTTTAAAATGTAAGAATTTAGATGGCAAGCTACTTTGGAGTATGGAAACACCTAAATCCCCAATACTTCAAGTAAGTCAAAAACAAACGACAATGATTTGATGAATTGCTACAGTGGTCAAGTACTTATAAAATGAATAAATATTCAAAATGATACTATAAATATACTTTTTATGTTCTTGCATAGGACTGAATGTAAATACTATAAGATTTTTTATTTAAATTTTTGTGGTAAAAACAATCATCAGTTTTAACCTTAATTAATAAGCTGCAAACAAATATAAAAAATACTAGTAATAATCATAATAATAATAATGATATATAAATACATACAAGTTTTTTTTTATATAAAAGGATCCATACTTGAAAATGTCACTTTTAAAACTATGGCCCAGAAGATAATAAAATTGAAGGTATTAACTAAAGAAAATAATTAATTTACAAAACTGTGTGTGGAGGTTTTAAAGAATTCAGGCTTGAAAGTTTAACATGTGACTTAGAAGCTACCATGTTTTATAAAATGTTCCAAATCAGTGTGCCAACTTACATAAGTGCTTTGTCATACTAAAATATTTATAGAAAAATATCATATATACCCTTGAAATATATTCAATTATCAAGAATATCCATGTATTCTTGATAATAGAAAATCTACTCCTCACTTTTGTATTAATATGAAATCTATTCTTCAACTTGATAAGCTTTCACAAATATTCTTTTTTAAGTGCAACTAAGGCCCAACCTACATATTGTGAAGAAATTGAGGGATCATCTTTAAAGGCCCAACAGCTCATTTGATCCAAAATTTGAAGTAAGTAGAGAAATTGGTGGGCCATCTTTGACTCAATATGCCTTTGCTTGTACTTCAAAGAGCCCACATATGTAGTAAAATATTGAATTCAAATTTGCATGTAAGATTAGTATTCTTGAATGAAAAGACTCTATTAAAGAAAAATTGATGAGAAAAAATAGCAAATGTCATAAGACGTCACAAGAAGATAAACATACTATAGAGCTAACCCTTCTTTGTTATTCCTCTACATCTAGAGTCTTGCTATTTTGTAACCCACCTACCTTCATGCTATCAATATCATCAATTGATATAACATCTTCAATGTAGTAACCAACTATAGTTATTGCCAATGTGGTTGAGTGACAATGTGAAGTTGTCCATGAGAAAGTGTTTCATAGCCACTTCCCATTTGTCTCCCTACTTTCTCAACTTGGTGTGCTATCAAGACTCATTCCTAAACTATCTCCAACAAGAGGACTTATACAAATTTGGGAGGCCTTACATAACTATATTTCCACAAATTTGAGTGATCAAAGACCTACACAAAGATGGGCAATGCTTATGTAGGCATATCATAAGAGTCTCGATCGCTTCCCAAGGTAAAAAGCCCTAGATATACTATATCTAACATTACTTTGATGTGATCTTGGGCTTAGACTTAAGGAGTTGTATTCAAAGATTCAGGCTATGCTTATGATTATGGCATTGCTTAGCATTGTCTTCACTATTAGAAGTGAGTCATGGTTAACACAACCCTTATGGAGCTGGATCAAAATTAAAAACAATTTTTCTACTTTCTAGATATTTGGATTCTATAATAGTAGAGGATCTTAAGTGAGAACTAAACTTTTCACATTTGTGGAAAGACATTAGAAATGTCATTTTTTGTACAAAAGTTAGCCGATTAATATTTATATGGTTGATTACTATCTATATTCAATCATCGTCCATGGCTAAATTGATTGACAATGCAAGTGATAAATGAATCAAAGTAGAAGCAATGTTGGTATCTTTGTCTAAAAAACTCCAAACAATATCAGGTGTGTTGTATCCTTCAATTGAATGACTGTTGTAAGCAAAAATAAATAAATAAATAAATAATAACAAGACTCTAGATGTCTACTAGTTTTGCTCATCAATTTTTCTTTCATAAAGTCTTCTCATTCAATGGTACTAAGCTTACATGTAGGTATAAATTCATTATTTTGCTACATGCATAGGCTCTTTACCATACAAGCAAAGGCATATTGTGCCAAGTTGTTGACCCACCAATTTCTCTGCAATACACAAGCTGGGCACTAGTTGAACTTAAGAAAGAATATTTGTGATAGCTAATCAAGTTGAAGGGGAGATTTGATATTAACACAAAAGTGAGGACTATGCTTAATATTTCAACGTGTATCAGAGATATATAAGATATTTTTCCAGTACAAGATATCAAAATTCTCTGCAGATATCTGAGAATGAGTTCGGATTTTGTTTGATTTGTTTCGATTCCTCATTGAGGATGGAGTTTTAAAATTAACACCTAGCACTGACGAGATCCTGAAAATTTGCACTGAGTTTATATCACCTGATGGGGAGTTAATATAAAAAATACCTTTTCTTAAACCCGCAACGGGGGCTGCCATAATTTCCTCGAGTCTTTTACTACAACCGTTCAGAATATCGTTTAAAAATGCTAACAATTTACAGGCAGTCAAAATTTCTCAACCACTCCCATCTTTTCCACCACTGATGATAGTCGGCACAAAAACTCTAATGTAATGATTTGGGACGCCGTTGATCAAAAATTGGGGAGGGGACCGAGTTTTAGCGTATGGCTCTTCTCTTAACAAACAAGCATGATCAAAGCTAAACTCTAAACATAGAGACAACCACATCCTCCCTACAAAATTGCTGCAGGGTGTGCAGGCGAGGTCCACTGCCAAAGTTCCTTTAACTGTGAAACAGGATCCTGTTCAGTTTCCAATCGCTTATCTGTCATCTCCACTTCTGTAGCTGTTGGCACACTATCTGAGCCATCGCATTTACTAACACCTGCTTCCTGACAAAATGTAGGGAAGACCACACCATTATGTGCAAAAACAGCAATCTGTGTGGCGAAGCCAGGACTGTTGTCATCGTCTTCCCCGTCTCCACCAACACCTGCGAAACGCACTTGATAACCGTACTGCGAAGCAAGAAGGGAGGCCCACTCCCGAAATTCAGCTCGTGTCCACTCAAATCTATGGTCATGGTTTCTGAGGTTCTGGGTTTCCATGTCCATTAGCTTCTTGGAGTCGGTCAGTTCAGGAAAAACCGTAGGACCGGGTTTATTAAGACTGTTGCTTTCAGGGTCCCACTCCAGGCCGCGAATGACTGGATTGTACTCGATGTTTGGCGTGCTCACTAACCACACTTTTGGAACCAATTTTCCAAGTATACTTTTTCCCAATTTGCGCAAAGGTTCTGGATCCATGTGCTCCACCACCTTCATCCATTCTTCAAGTTAGGCAGGATAATATTTGCCGAGCTCACTTCATAATGAAGCTACGATCGCCACTTTCAAATTTTACAAAGAGACTCTTTTGTGTGGAAGACAGGACATTAATGGATGCAAACAAAACAAATTCAGACACAAAAGCAATGTGAAAAGTGATTTTTTTTATGTATATATGTATGTATAAATATATATATATATATATATATATAATTTTAAAACTAAGAGGAACTGAGAACATACTTCAATGCAGGTTGCCAAATCTGGGGAGCGAAGACGTAAGTCCATAGCAGAGATCGAGCCCTCGTAGAGAGTGATACTTTGGATGCTATGAGCAGCATTCTGTTTCGCTAAACTTGCACTCAGTGACTGAAATGCTCAACACACACAAAAAAAAAAAAAAAAAAAAAAAAAACTTGGTCATTCCATATCACTCAGTCAATCTGCAATGATCTCGTTCAGGAGCTGAAAGGTTACAGGAATGCAAAATTAGGAATACCAGAGGCCTCATACCAACTAGAGACCCCCGATAGTCTACGATCCAGAATATTACAAGTGACTGATAATTGGTGAACAAGGGTCCGCATACCTTGGCCCCACGAATCAAGGCTTTCCGAGATATGTCAATGCCAATCATATATTCCAGCGTATTAGGTTCTCTTAAAAGGGCTTCCAGAAGGCTTCCAGACCCACATCCCAAATCCACCTGCCTCATATCATGCAAGGTGGTTGCAAAGATGATCAATAAAAATTGAAAGCGATTTTTCAAGTTTTCAAAAACGGCAAGCATCATTTAGCTCATAAGTGTCACCAAGTCTAAGTTAGTTGCAATACCAGAGTCTTCGCCTCCAGGGCATTTATCATTGTGCGAGCGAACTCTATCCGCTGCTTGGAAAGAGGGGGTGCAAAATGTGAGGACTCTATCCTCTCCTCCATCGCTTCTTCAAATTTAAGCAACTTCACAGTATATTCAAGTACCAGACCTATACCAAGCCACAGTACAATATACGGCAAATATGTTCAATTAATGTAAGGGTATATCTCTAATACAGTGAAAAACTACCCCTCCACATGCTGTTTTGCAGAAGCATGAAAAACAATACAGGCATATGGTTAGAGAATGCTGATAACATACCTTGCCGATTTTCGCCAAGTTCGCTGCTGGCTGCAAATAACACACCTAGTGCCTCCACGGGTAAACAAAATTGCAAGGTTTGGCCAACGGTGGCCTGACTAACACATGCATCGATTTGGCCAATTACAGCGCCCACACCAAGCTCAAATTTGAAGTCTGATTGAGACTCTAAGTCATGTATTAATAGCATATCAGAAGAATTATCACCATTACAACAAGATCCTTCGTCGATCAAGTTTACAGTGTAGCTCACAAATACCATTGAACCTGGAGGAGGCCGATCGCCAAGAGTATCTTCCTCAGCAATGACTCTGAATGACAAAAATTCCGACTGCCCACTGCTTTCATCTGACTTGTAAACAGTAGAGTCTTGAGGATTACTACCCAAGAAATCTCCATTTGACTTGCAACAATCTTGGTTTTGAAAGTAACTGCAAAGGCAACCTGTTCCAGACCATCTTCCATAGCTCAAAAGAGCATTCAATGCAGCACTCTGAATTGCATCATTGCGACTTCGGAAAAAGCCATCTGACTGGAAGTATGTGGGAGCTTTGTTTCCCGCAGAGCCTACACGAACTTTGCACTGAAAAGGCCCCTGCTTACTACTTCCAGGATTACCCTGCTTTGAGATACCGTTGTTATTCATGGACATTAAACCTTTAGTATGACCTATCTCTAATGAGTGTCCGCCTGCGGTACTATTGCAGGACTCCTGTGTATCGTTACAAGTATACTGTGCTTCGGAGAGGCGATGCTGGTGACAAAAATCTGCTAAAAGAGATTTTGGGCTAGCACCTTGCCAATGTGCCCTGCAGGTGTAGACCTTTGGCAGATCAGCCACTAACAGCGACCGTCTACTTAGCTTGTATGCACCCCAAGGGTTTCTCCCCAACATTAACCTGCATATCGAAATAAACTTGCAGAATCCATCACATGTTCGGGAACGTAGGTCTCCAGGAATCTCTCTTCAAAAATAGTGATGAACTGCTTCTAGAACCAAGAAGGATATTTGACAAAGCATACCTATGAAAGCAACTCAATGTGAAGTTATCATAGATGCATCTTCCATCAGATGTCCAGGTGGATCCAACAGTAGCAAGAATAGCATCACCATCAATAGCATGACCCACAAGAAAGCTAGCTCGCTCATTTCTAGAAATCCGTCCTCCAGTGTTTCGCAATGCCTCCATAGGACCATCCTGGGAACAAATGTCGCGATAAATTTTTGAGGGTTCAAATTGCTCGAGCAGCTCAACATCAGGAAACTTCACTACAGGAAGTCTCTCTCGTGCTCCCCAAAATAAGCGAGACCCATCAGGTGCCTTTCCAATCTGCCTGAAAGCACAATACAAATGAGACTTAAGAGATCCTACGCACCAACGAGGCGATACGAATCACATTCGAAACTGCCAAGAAACAAAGACAGAGACGTTTACTACAGCGGTATTCATAATATCTCAGACCCGCAAGAAACAAGGATAAACCCACTCCTATAGTAAGAAACAGCACCTTGACATGAACACTTGTCCTGTATCTTGCAGACCCAGTGCATTTGCTATGGTATCCAGGTAATAAACATCTGGTAATGCAGTCAGACTAATTGTCCTTAATTCCTCTTTAACATATGCAGGAATATATACTGCTTCAAATCTAAATGCTCTATTGAACTGTGAACACGTTGTTTCCAGATTATGCATCTCATCTCCATTCCCCGACGCGACTGATTCAACTCGGTTCTCTCGATCAGTAAGAAGTTTCGTTACAAGTTCAGGAGAAAATGGGTCAGAGCGACCAATCCACAGGCCATCATCAGATAGCCTGAGGGATGGGCAAGCAGCAGCTGCTCTGCAAACAAGAGCAGCAGCATAAGCAGGATTTTTTTCCGCAAGTAGGTCGATTGCTTTGCACTGCGATGTAATCTTGCCATCCAACACTGTCAGCACTATGGCTGGTACTTGCCCAAACCGTGAACCTTTACGCTGCACAGCAGCTCTAAAGTGCTCCGCCAGTGGCTTGTAAGACAGCACCATCTACATAAAAATAAACGAAATCACCACTTCGTACATGATCACACGAGTAGAGCCTTTACATAATTACAGAAATGTAAACCAACGTCAGGTTATATTTACATTCGTAAACGTGAAAAGTATAAAAAATGCTTCCTCCACTCTAAATACTAGCACTTACAATGCCGTACAAAACGTGCTACAAAAGTTCAGAAGTACTAGTCCTACGGTGGATGATTTTGAACCAAAAGGATATACACACTTGTTCTACAACCCGTTCTCCATCTCAATACTACTACGGTGCAGAGACCAAACGAACGTGCAAGTCGGGCGCATAAATCTTCTGATTATTAAAAAAACAGACATCCAGAAGTATGTAAAATAATGCAGTGTAGGAATGGAAAATCCTACCATTATACGATGACTGAAGTTCACGATGTGATAACCCTATCAGACCCATCGATCACAAGTAACTTAAGCCGAACAAATGCAAAAAACAAGCAATTGGATCTAAGATTCAAAATTATTATAAAATAATTAGTCCTACAGGCTGATTCCTGACAGCTACTTCAAATACCGCTTCACTTAATATAGTGAGAAAGAATAAACCTGATCGGTGAAGGCCAAAGAAACTTTGCGATGTAGACCCTCCCATGATTCAGCAGTAGTAGCCTGTAAAGCACCTGGTTCATATGGTATTCCCATCTGCAAGGTTGCCAAGTCGATGTCATAAATGAAAACTTAACTGTGCGGCCTGAACCTGAATACAAAGAGAGTAAGATTATATCCATTTATATATTTTATAGTATTCCATGAATATGTGGAAAAAATACATACGTATAAGAAAAAAAAAGACAAAGAAGTCTTCTCATTGGCATGGGAAGTAGGGAACATGGATGAACGAGAGAATGCATGGATGGCAGTGCCGGAAATTGCAGTGCCCAACGGCACGGGTTTCCGCTAGTGTCTGACGGCATAATTTAAACTCGAGTATATTAGACAACAGAAACGCACACAATAGGGCTAAAAAAGAGCATGCTTCCAAACTTGCATGAGACTATCAGTAGACAGTCTTCAAGCACATCGATTTAATATTCTTTAAATACAGGAAAGTAGAAGAAAAGGACAATTCCAGAAAAGCCTCCACCATGTGATCGTGAATATAAAAATGTTGAATCATCAAAGCGCACCTTCTGAAGTGCATGAAGAGCTGCATCTTGCTCGGCATCCTTTTTCCGACGAAAACTGTTGGATTGAATGGTAGTACCATCGGGCAAATGTAACTTACATGCAAACATAGGACCCTCCTTGCTGAACTCAAGAAGCGCAGTTTCCTGGTGTCCTGCACCAACAGACCCTGTTCCCAAGTGTGGCAACTGCCAAGTTTCATACCGGCATTTCTGACCTAACCTGACCATAACCGTATGGAGTTTCGCCTTAGCAGTAGCCATATTCAGATCCTCTCCCTCTATATGTATATCCTTCTCTGAACCGCATCGGCTCTAACAAGAGATAGTTGAACTGCCTCTGTTTTCGTCAGCTGCATAAACCATTGAATTAGTCCATTATTAGTGCATTGGACGCAGAAATGTTCCGAGAACAGAAAACTCGGTTGTAAACAACCAACCTGACACCAAAATATGCTGTTAAATCAACACAGCATTCAATTTAGACGGATGAAGAAGCAACGAGACAAGAAGACTTGTGATCCCCGTCTCTGGCTTGATACCTATCTATCATTCATAATTGCAGTCGCGCCTTCACTCCCACACTTCCTATCAAATTTTGGAGAGCTACTTTCACATTTGACTTACCAGTCCTCGTCAAAGGATTCCATAAAAATTTAAAAGGAGCAACAACCAGACAAAACCAAAGAAAAACCCTGTGTTAAGTCCGAACAAGCTTAACAATCCATGTGGACAAGGAATACAGAAACGGGCGTGCATCTACCAAGAGGTAGGAAGAGAGAAACTAACATCGGGACAGCCAAACCGAAAGAGCGGTCCTGTAGGCAGTGAGAATGAGTCCAAACGCAGAACCCGAGGCAAAGAAAAGCAGCGGAGGCCAGCTGTTTGCCTGAAAAGGAGGGAACAAGAGGGGTGTGGAAGCCAATTACCATAATCTGGGTGAGCGGGGGCAATAAGAAGCGGGGGAAGGCAGAGAAGACTGATCAGAGAGAGTGAGGATGGAGGGTAGGGGTCATGTTGGAATGAGCGCGAGAGAGTGAAGAAGCAGCGCTTGGAGTAGAAGAGGTGCAAAGAAGGGGACACTAGCTCCATCATGATTGTGCAGTAGCGTCGTGGAAGAGTGTTGTGTACGTTGTTACATTATGGATGAGCGTCAAAATCTTGCGCCGAAGCGAGGGATGGAATTTCAAAAAAGAAGAGAAAGAAAAGAGGGTCGTGAAAGTAGCGAAAGGGGAGAGCGCAAGGAATAAGGGGGGGGGGGGGGTAGGGTTTAGGTGATGATAGGAGAAAAAGGCCTGCTTCTGAATGTGAAGTTGTACGCAACTGCTGTAGATGGAACGAAAAGAAGTTGAGCAGCAAAGAAGGCAGCGAAGAGAGAGAGAGAGAGCTTGCTTGCACGCGGGAGGAGAAACTGGAGGAGAGGAAGGGGAGGAGAAGGGAGAGCGAGAAAGGGAAAGGGGAAGACCTAAACCCTAAACCCCCCTCCCTCCCTCTGGCTGTCTGTCTGTCTGTCTCCAACCCCTGCCTGCCTGCCTGCAACACGACGGACTGGTCAGACCACGCAGCTAACTAACTATCCTATTGCTGCTGCCAGAATAGTAGGGCCCTTCTTCACTTACTCTCTCTCACACTCACCCACTCTCTCTCTCTCACTCAGATCCCCTCAAACTTCCTTGCTTCCACATGCCCCAACCTTTTCCTTCTTCTTCGATCTCACAACAAACACACGGTCTTGCACCTTCCAGCTTCGCTTCCATCGCGTTCATTCCCTTACTTACTACTACTACTGTCGCCTTCAGATTACAGTCCTATCCTTTTTCTAATATTAAAGGGTGCTTGTTAATACTAACTACCATGAAGAGTCCTTTAAGATAACAGTTTGTGAAAACTACTCTATTCCGATGATGCTGCTCAGGGATATGCTAACCGGGAATATTCAATTTTAAACTGTAAAAAGTATAAAAACAACAACATTAGTATTTGCCAAAAATTCACGAATTCATTGTATTGAAAAAAATTAAAGAACTTTGTAGATTATTTTATATGTTTATATTTATATATATATAAACAATAAATACTTTAAAAATCATAAATTGTCTTTTTTGTATAACCTTTTTGTACCCCTAAAAATCAAAAAGTCTGTCCAATACCACCAACCACACTAACAATCCATAGAACTTGCAATAGACTATAAGAGTCATGAATTTTGGATAAAATATTGATAATTTATTGTAAATATTCTTTATATAATAAAATCTTAACAGTAGAATTTACTTTGTAAAATTATATAATATCGATTGAGAACCCCCCCCCCCACAAAAAAAATAATACAAAAAATCAAACTTAATAGAAAATTGAACTTAAACATAATTTAAGAAAATCTTACATGAAATTTTTACACTGAAATAGTGAGATCAGTAAATATATATATATATATTAAATTGCAATGTAATATGAGTATGTAGACTTATATAACAAATTTTATGCTCTAACAAATGTGATTGGAAGTATGTATACAAATAGAAAATAAATAAATAAATAAAAATTAAAAAAATATACTTAATGGTGAAATTCACCATTTAATCTAAATTAGAAAATAACTTCACTTCATATTTTCTCTTAGAAATTTAGATGAAAATCATAACTTTTAAAAAAGAATAAAAAATAACAAAAGAATAAAAATAAAAATAAAAAAGAAATAGACATTTAAAATGTATTGTGAGTTTTCCACTAGGTTTTAATTTAATGAATAATAAAAAATAAAAAATAATATATGATAATAAAAAAATCAAAATTCAAAGAATAAAATTGAAAAATTAAGATTTATTCTAAAAATAACTTGGTAATGTGGTTGAAATCCTAAGCATCAGCAAGGTTTAGAAAAGACATAAAAGGGATTTTATAAGGTCTTCAAGACCTTTATCATATCTTCTTACCTACCTCCAAAGTGTTACATCCTATATAATACTAATACTTTTAATTTTTTTATTAATTTTTGGTCTTATTAGCTATTTTTACTTAAACTGCTATTTTTAAATTTTGGTTTTACCTAGGTATCAAAAAGATACACAATTAGCTTAGTGTTGTATAAATAAAGATTTTCATATACAACAAATCAAGTGCCAAAAATCAACATCAAGTATGCAATTTAAATCAAATGAGAATGTGCAATCAACACACTCTTAAAGAAAGATGGAAAATCTAAATACAATGGAGTCTAGTTATCTCTTACACCACAAAAGAAGAATTCAAGTATGCAAGTATTTGTAGGAAAAATCCTAAAACTTTATTAAATGGCTTAATCACCACAATTAAGGAAAATCTTATAACATAAACTTTCTTTCTTTTAAAATCTACTTACAAGATTTAACTTGTCAAGAATGTTAACTCCAAGCAATTTTTTTCCTTAAGTTTTTAAACCCTATTCAATACTAACAAAGTCAAATAAGAAAAAATGTTAAATAGATGAAAATCTACTAAATTAAATTAGATTATATCTGTAACAAGGTATAGATAAGATAACTATATTATTAACACATAGGGATAGATACTTAGAACCATGTTTGAGAAGTTATGGAAGTTTCTAAAATTGGGGTTAAATTAGTGGATTAAATAGGATCCACCATAGAACATTTTAAAGAGAATTTAAGGCGGTTATTCAAGTAGGGCCTATTATAGAACCTTTTAGAAGGAATTTAACGTGGTTATCTAAGTGGACTCTATCATCTAGGAATATTCTAGAAAGTTTAAGGTGGTAAAACAAAGTATAAATATGATTGGCTAGGGCCTTTTAGGGCATCTGGTCAAGTATGGCTTTGGACCCTTTCTCTTAATACAATTAAATTTTGTATCTTTCTGTTTGTTCTATTCTCATTTATTCTATTTTAATTCTAATTATTCAGTTTTGTTTTCTATGTTGCATTTTATTAAGTTTTGTTGAGTTTAATAGTGGTTAAATTTATCCTACTTTGTGATGAAGTTTTATGTTGTTGTAGATTAGAAGGATCTTGGACACTTGAGATAAACCAATCCTGTTTTATTGATATCAAAGCAAGTATTAGATTTTTCTTTGGTAGTATATTGATAGTCATCATCTAATCCAAGGTCATTTGTTGTAGTCACATTCGATACTATGTTGACGCTACCATGAGCTACTCTTAGAAAGTCAATCAGAAGATGAGAAGGCATTACAATAATGGACTCTAATAGAGAAATTACAGCATGGGAGATATGGCACAGCAATCTCATATGGAGGCTGAAATATAATATGTCTTAGGCCAGATAGCTACTTTGTAAGGGCAAATAGAAGCCTTGAAGATAAGTGAGTCGACATATGCTAAGCTAAAATTGAATAGACTTAGTACATACTTTGGAATTTCAAGACAAAAAGATGTATGTCAATGGTTCTTCAATATATTGTAATACCTCTAACTATCCAAGACAAATACCAATGAAAGAATTATAAATGTAGTCAATTATTTGAAAGATAGAGCATTCATTTGATAGCAACATGAAGTTCAAAGCTATAGAACTCAATGTAGATTTTGTGATTGAAAGAAATTTGAGACCAAGTTTAAGAATCAATTTTAGCTCCATCAATGCAGAGAAGATAGTACACAATTAGTTGGCAAATCTTACATAATCTAGGTTAGTACAAGATTATGTCTCCCAATTCAAGTCTCTATATCTTCAAATTGAAAATATTTTAGAGGCAGAGATGATGGATTGATTCCTACAAGGTTTGAAACTTGGGGTCCAGCGAGAGGTGGAACTAAATAATCCACAAATATTTGAAGAAGCAATTTAGATTGTAGAGAGAATCAATGCTGTAGATTTCATAAATTATAAAGCACAACCTATAGTATGAAGTCTTATGTCACTATCTAATACTATGGTACAAAAACTAATACCAATGGAGATTGATGTTCTACAAGGATCATTAACACCACAAAGACAACAAATATTGGTACAAAATGAATTGTGTTTGTATTGTCAAAAGTCAAGCCATTAGATTAGAGGTTGTCAGAATGTCAAAATTCAAACATCATCAAAATAACGCAGATTCATAATCTTGAAACTCACCAAGTCGATAATAAGATAGAACAAAAAAATGAGATTCTTCAATAAAGGCATCGTGCGTCAATATTGGGCACAACTATTGTCTCTTAGAAAAAATTGCATGGCCTCAAATAATTATAAAAAGAATTGATTAGTACATCTAACGAGACTACTAAGCATATAACCATATCAAGTACTTATAGATTATGGTTCTATAGAAAATTACAATTCAACTGAAATTATTGATTGATTTGGAATTTAAACTAAGGCAACCAAGAGAAGAAATATATACCTTGTAGATGATCGAGAGAATGTATTAAATAAGACATGTGAAGAAAAAACCTTAAAATTGACTAACATCTATATCTTAAGAGAAAGGTTGAAGGTGACAAAGCTAAGATATGATGTTATCCTTGATATGCCATAGCTAGAGATAAAAAATAAGTAAGTTGATTGAATAGCAAGGAAAATTTCTTTTAAAGATAGTAGACGCAAGGTGATTCTTTGCACCTTTGTATCAAGTGAAGAGGAAAGACAAATTACAACTGAAGACTTATTCATAGGAACAACTTTTATGAAGAAGTAAATACATCATAAATAACCAATATATATGGTAGTTCCAAATCTTGCATCAATGGTGGATAAGACAACCAAAAGAGTACAACAGGTAGAATAATTCATATGAAAATATTGAGATATCTTTTCAACCGACCTATCTAGTAGCATGCCTCCTAATTGAGGTGCCACATTTCAAATAGAACTATTACCTAGAATCAAACTAGCAAGTCGACCAATTTTGCCTCCTGGCACGATAAGAACTAAAAGAGTTGTCAAAGACATTAGACAAACTCTTAGAAAAATGCCTCATTCAAGAAAGTATATCACTATAGAGAGCACCTATACTCTTTGTACCGAAGAAGGATGGTGAACTTTGCCTTTGCATTGATTATCAAGGCCTTAATAAGTAGACTATTAATAATGCATCTCCACTTCCACACGTGGATGACTTTCTTGACCAACTTCAAGGTGCAACCATCTTTAATAAATTGGATCTTTAGAACAACTATTGACAAACACCTATTGTAAAAAATGATGTAAAAAAGGTGATATTTTATATGTACTATGGATATTTTGAATGGCTAGTTTTATATTTTGGTCTCACCAATGCTCCAGCCTCTTTCATAGATCACATGAATAGATTATTTTAAGACCTTTTGGACAAGAATATAGTTGTTTTCATTGATGACATCCTTATATATAGTAAAATTTCTAAAGAGTATGAACAATACCTACAAGAAATATTGTGTCCACTACAAGATATTTATTTCTATTGCAAGCAATCAAAATATGAGCTTTGGAAGTTAAAAGTCATCTTATAGAAGCATGTAGTGCTCAATGCATGCATATGAAAGCCATAGAGGATTGGCCAACCTCCAAAGATGCTTTAGAAGTTTGCTCATTTTAAGGCCTTGCTAGATATTTTTGCCATTTTATTTGGCAATTTGCTCACATTGCTATGTCATTGATAAACCTATTGAAAAAAGTATTCCATTCAAATAAAAATCAAAGCAGTAAAGCACCTTTGATAAGTTGAAGGAGACACTCATTGCTGCTCT